CGGTGCCACCCCTCACGCAGATCCGCGGGGTCAGGGTCCAAAAACACATGGGATTTGCCACATTTCTGAAATTCGGTGCCACCCCTCACGCAGATCCGCGGGTCAGGGATTTGCCACATTTCAAAAACACATGGGATTTGCCACATTTCTGAAATTCGGTGCCACCCTTCACGCACATCCATCGCAAGGCGTGGTAACCCAAACTGCGAGAACTCCCTCGGCCCTTTAATCGCAAGGTGTGGTAACCAAGCCCGTAAACCATACACGTCTTACCAATCGCCAGGTGTGGTAACCCCTCTTGTGATCAGTTGGTTTTGCTGATTGCGAATCGGCTTTGCATGAAGTTTCGATACTGCTTCACGACAGCGCCAAGGCCTCATGACTTAGCTCTTCCATGGCCCATTCTCCGAGAGAGGGGGCCGGCGGCAGGGGGCGAAGCCCTTACGGATTATACAATACGACCAACCATCGGGTGATAAGGAGGTGTGGGGGATGAACCAACGTCCCACTCAATCGACCTCACGATTTATTCCAGAGTCGACCTCACTGTCGATCTCACTATCAATATCATGATCGATCTCACTATTCATCATACCACCGATCTCACAATTGCGTTTTATTATCGGTATCGCTATCGATCCCACTATGGGCCCCACGCTCGATCTCACGATCGATGTTAGGATCAATCCCACTATCGCTCTCATTGTCTATATCACGATCGGTCATACTATCAATAGCATGGTCGATCTCACTATCGATCCCAAGACCGATCCCACTATCAATCTCACAATCGATCTCACTATCGATCACACTGTTGAACCTGACTATCAACCTCATTATCGATCTCACTATCGATCTCCCCATCGGTTTCAATGTCGATCTTGAAAGCAACCGGGGGACACCACGGGACACCACGGGACATCATCGGGACACCACGGCGGGACACCCCCGGCCACCGCCAGACAATCCAGGGGGGGCGGTGTTTGGGCCTGGCGGCGCCCTATCCTGAGGAGGGTTCATCCCTCTACCCCGTCTACGCAACTTCGCCTCGCCCGCACGCACGACACGAGCACGAAACCGAAACCAATTTCCCAATGGGAGGCTCTTCGTTTCACTGCGACCTCACCCCCTCACCTCCGACTAGCTGGAATCCGCTGACGTGACTCCTGGCACGCTGATGCGTCGTAACATCATGAGGACTGCGCGGTAGGGTACCAGCACTCTTCTTAATAAAGCCCCCCCTCCCCTCTTCTCGCCATATCCAATTGCGTGCACCGCCCCCCCCCCGACCTCACGCCACTTCTGGTCTGTCTGACGTGTCCAAGATGTCCAAAATGGCTTCCAAGACGGCTCAGGCAGGCCATCGCCCACCAGGGTCGCCAAGCCAAGACGGCCTGAGATTACCTCGAGACGGCCCAGGATGGCCTTGAGACGGTCCAAGAGGCCCCCATACGGCCCAAGCGGGTTCCAAGAGGACCTCCAGGAGGGCCCACGACGTCGAAGACGTTGATTGGACAGATGTGTTTGAATCATTTTCGCGTTCTCGCCATTTCGGCCTCCGTCAGCCCAAGACGGCCAAAGAGGCCTTCAATATGACCACGAGACGGCCCAAGAGACTTCCAAGAGGGCCAACGAGGCCTTCAAGATGGCCCAAGGGGCCTCCAAGACGGCCCAAGCAGGCCCCGAAGACGCATGACCCTTCAGAGCCCCGAAGAGAGCCCCGAAACAGCCCAGAGGGACCCAAGGCAGACTCCGAAGGCGCCAGGGGCTGCCCAAGAGCGACCTAACACGACCGAAGGAGCTCCCAAGAGACCCGCCCCCAACAAGCTTCTGGCACGACGCGGAGAACCGTGACGCATGTTACGGCTCTCCCAGGCCTTGGGGCACGAGGTGTCACTCGCTACAGCCTCCTATGAACCCCGTGGACAATCGCTGCCCAGAATACTGAGCCGGAATGGCGGCGGGACTTGCCGCAAGAAACTGGATATTCGGCAACCGGCAAGTGTAGATCCTACACCGTGTGGGCCAAACAATGGGCAGGTGTAGATCATACACAATGCAGGCGAGACAAGAAAGAAACATAGAAACGGGCTTGAAGGGTGTAGAGACGAGCAGGGCACATGGATAGGCAATGTGGAAAAATGATAAAAACGGGGATGCTCAAAAAGCGTGAGCGGAGAGGCAAATGATATGGGCCCGGCGAAGGGCATTCGGCTCTCGGGGAAAGGGTCAGGGGAGAGACACAAGGGAATCGACTTTACAAGGGCTGCAGGAAGACATGGCATGGCGAGGGAGGGGGACAGGGGGTTGCATGAAGAGATGGCTGGGCAAGTCTGGTGGGCGCGGGGGCGATGCTCGACGGTCGGTCGGAAGAGAGGTGGTGCGACTGGACGAGCAGAGGTAAGGAGATGTGGGGCCAGACCGTCAAGATAGAAGAGAACGGGGAGGCTGGTAGTTGTAGTGTGGGACGGTGGGCTGGGAACACGTGGGGGAAGGAGGA